TGGGCGAGAAAATCCCGCGGACTGCGCCTCCCGGGGGGTCTCGCCGACCGAGCTGGCCTCTCATCCGCTCTGGTGGTCCGGCCCCCCGTGGTTGAGCCGCCCCTGTGACGCCTGGCCGGCTCAGAGAATCCGTGACGGGCACGACCGGAGCATCCCCGAGAGCAGGACCGTAGCCGCTGCCACCGCACGCACCGTTGCCGAACCGGAAACACTCCTCCGCTTTTCGTCCTGGACGTCGCTTCTCCGAGTCACCGCGTGGATGATGCGTTGGCGATACCCTCGTCGCGGCCCTCTCGAGCCGGACGAGCTGGACCGAGCGTCGCGTCACTGGATCCGTACCACGCAAGGAGCCCATTACCCCGCCGAAGTTGCAGCCGCAAGGGGGGGGGGCGCCCAATGACGTCCACCAGCCCACTTCTCACCCTCGGGGTGTTCGTCGACGAGGCCAACATCCTCAGGGTCGGCGGCAGGCTCAAGCACGCGAGTCTACCGCGCGACGAGCGGCACCCCATCGTGGTGCCACCCGCGTCACAGCTAGCGCTCCTGCTGGTCGACGCCTGCCACCGGCGCACTCTGCACGGCGGAGTCCAACTGACCCTCGGGCTGCTCCGCCTGCAATACTGGTTGCCACGGGGCAGAGCCGTGGTCAAGCGACGGCTGCGGCAGTGCGTCACCTGCGTCCGCTGGCGCGGAGCCACCATTCAGCCCCCCATGGGCAATCTTCCGCGGGACCGAGTGACTCCCGCACGCCCGTTCCTGCGGACGGGAGTTGACTACGCCGGTCCCGTCTTCGTCAGGACCAGCAAGGGCCGGGGACAGCGCGCCTTCAAGGCGTTCATCGCCGTCTTCGTGTGCTTTTGCACGAAGGCGGTGCACCTGGAGCTTGTCTCCGACTACACCTCCGAGGCGTTCCTGGCTGCCTTTCGGAGGTTCACGTCACGCCGAGGCCTCTGTTCTGTCGTCTACTCGGACTGCGGGACGAACTTCACCGGGGCCGACAAGGAACTGCAGCGCCTGTTCCAGGCATCGTCGCAGCAGAGCCGAGACATCGCCCGAGACCTCGCCAACCAGGGAGTGAAGTGGCACTTCAATCCCCCCGCAGCCCCCCACTTCGGGGGACTGTGGGAAGCCGCGGTCAAGTCCGCCAAGCATCATCTCCGACGGGTGATCGGCGAGGCAAGGCTCACATTTGAGGAGCTCACCACGTTGCTCGCTCAAATTGAGGCTTGCCTCAACTCACGTCCCCTCCGCGCACTATCCGACGACCTCGAGGACATAACGGCACTCACTCCTGGTCATTTTTTAGTTGGGTCAGCACTGCTGGCTATCCCGGAGCCGTCGCTCATTGACACTCAGGAGAACTTGCTGTCCCGGTGGCGCAACGTCCAACGGATGCGGGACCACTTTTGGGCACGATGGTCCAGCGAGTACCTACACGGCATCGCTTCCAGGCCGAAATGGCACGGGCCAGCACTCACACCCGACGTCGGGGCACTGTGCTTGATCCGCACGGAGAACACCGCACCAACTCGATGGCCACTCGCGCGGATCACCCGCTTGCACCCGGGCGACGACGGGATCGTTCGAGTCGTCACTGTGAGGACCGGCTCGTCCACACTAGTCCGCCCCCTCACGAAAATAGTGCCGCTACCAGGCACAAGTACCGGCGAACCGTCGTAATACCGGCGTATTACTCGCGCGTATCGCGATCCCGGATCGTGGCTTCACGGAAGTCACGATCAATGGGACTTGCGAGCAACGCGAACTTGCTCGTCGACCGACCAGCTGACGGGCCACGTGCGCGCCTCGTGCTCGCCACCGCGCCGTCGCGACGCGCTTACACGCTACGCTGGCTCTGCGCCGCCGCGCAGCCGCGCCACTAGAGTAGGAAAATCTCGTCCCTTTGTCGATTCCCTAGGAATCGGCAAGGCGGGCGGGA